ATGGGGAGGGTTGGTTGTGCGGGGAGCGCAGCGGGTCGGGCTGCCGAGGGCCGGTGTCGACCATGGGGCTCCGCCGGCACATGGGGAGAACCGCTTGATCTGTGTCATGGGCACAGTCACCTTCTCCCCTCCCACGCGCCTGCCCGGGTCACCTCTCAGGAGGTGACGGTGGTCACCTGCGCATCTCAGGAGGCATCAAGGCGAGCCCAGATGAGGGCCGGTGTCGACCATGGGGCTCCGCCGGCACATGGGGAGAACCGCTTGATCTGTGTCATGGGCACAGTCACCTTCTCCCCTCCCACGCGCCTGCCCGGGTCACCTCTCAGGAGGTGACGGTGGTCACCTGCGCATCTCAGGAGGCATCAAGGCGAGCCCAGATGCCGTCCGCCCCCGATACTACCAAAACCATCTAAACTTATACCTGAACCAGCTCCTGCGATAGAAGCTCAGGTCAGAGAGGCTGGAAAGGGGCTTTTCTGTACCAAAGTCCACAGAACCAGTCCACAGAACCAGTCCATTCTCCCAGAAACCAAGACCTCGGACCCAAGGTCCGAACAGGCCCCGGACCTTCTGTCCCAGACACTTCCCCGAGTCCCTGCGCGCCCCCTCCTTGTGTCGCTTTCTCTGAGGCAACAACCGCCGCTCAGGAGCACCAAAGAGCTTTGTGACACCTCTCGGCCCCATTTATAAATAAATTGGACCTGGTTTGACAGTCCCAAAGACACAAGACCTCTCCTTGATGACACTGGACATTGTCTCCGGACCCCACCCTCACTCCAACCCTCACTTTATTCCTCTCAACACTTCCAGGATGGTCACCCATCCTTTCCGGCAGCGTTCGCCAGATGAGCAAAGCGACGTTATCAGCTGCAGGAGGGCTGAGAACCTGTCTCCACAAAGCGAAGCGGAAGCTCATCGAGCCCTCAACCATCCCAACCAAGTCCCCAGCAGGACAGGGACCCGCTCCCCCCAGGGCGGGCAGCTGCCCGAGGCTCGGCCGCACGTCACCCCGATGGGCAGTGGGGGGTGCGGATGAGAGCAGGCTCGGGGGGAAAGGCAAGAGAAGGAGCCGGAATAAGGGTGACAAAACCAGCTCTGCCGCTCTTTGCCCTAATAGAGGGGCGTAAACCAGGACGATCCCACTGACCTCAGTGGCTCCCTCCCAGTTGATGCCAGCAGAAGCACTGGAGTCTTCCCCAGCGGGGGCCAGTGACCCTACTCTCCCCGCCTGGTACCCAGCTGAGCCTTTCCAGGCTCCTTTTTAGGCATGTCTAGGCTGAGCGTTTCTCCATCTCCATAGGATCCCACCAGAGATGCTCTTCCAGGAGGAGTTTCTCCAAGAGGAACGAGTCCCTGACAGCATCCGTCAGCCTCAGCTACAGCTCAGAGCCTTAACGCTGCATCTCTCTGCGCTCCCACGAGCCCCTCCTCTTCTCCCCATCGCTCTCAGCTCCGTCTTTAAAGGCGCAGAAAGGATCTGAGTCGCCCCATTCCCAGCGGCTGCCAGCCGGCTGCCAGCACCTGACTCCGAAAAAAACACGTGGGATGTCCTCCCTTTCTCCCAGCCCAAATCTATCACTCCCACCTCGAGGTGCCGGTGATTCAGGCTTCCCTCCGCTGGCTCACAGCATCCCCAGCGCAGCCTGCGTCGTGCTCAGCCCGGCGCCGCTTTATTCCTCGCCCGCTGCCGAGGGAGGGCCAAAAAGGCATGAATGCAGAGACACCGAGACAAGTGGGAGGGTGGGAAGCGGGGGGGAGAACAGCAGCCTCCTGGGGAGTTATTGACCGCAGCATCTCTGAAGAGGAGGGCTGCGAACCCGACGGCGTTTGCGGAGCAGAAAAGTTTCGAGCCGCTCCCAAAGGAAAAGTCCGGGACAGAGCCCCCCCGCAGGTTTTCAGAGGGTTTTTAGCTGTGGGAAAAGGGATGCGGTGCCCTGAGGGTGCGCAGCCGTGCTCCCAGCCGTGCCAGAGGAAGGTGTGAAGCTCCGTTTTGATTTAGGATAATCTCTCCCCGTGTGGGCTCTGCGGGAGCGAGCGGCTGCCCTGAACGGAGGGTTTAACATCCCCTCTCC